TACTTACGCACATACGCCAGAAAGAAATCTAACAACTAACGTGTTTGTTTCACTTATTTTTAATGGCCAAGGTGTAAGGGGAATCCCCCGGGTTCCAAGCGTCGACGCATCGGCCCGGAAGAAAGCGGTTTGACCTTGATCGAGATCGATTCGGTTACCCAGTAGTAATGTGTCAATCCCGCAGATCCCACACGGTAAATCCCGCAACTTTGATCCCGCGGAATCTCAGCGGGATCCAGCATTTGCGGGATTGCATTCCCTAGTTGTACACGTACATTGACATAGCATGTTATTTTGAAATTTTCTAAAAAAATTTGGTAGATGTGTCACTGACTCATCAAGTGTGAATATGTAATAAAAAGTGTGGGTGGTGGGATTGTTGGAGGATTACTAAAGCTACAATTTAAAATTATTTTCAAAAGGTACAGGGTGCGCCAAATAAATAAAAAGTATCAAAGTTTTATATTGTTTAATGGGACACTGTATATTATTACATTTTCAGTTTGTACGATTAAAATAAGGCAAAATTTAATTAAGGTTTACCGCACTTTGATCTTACCCTTTTTGAAATATTTACGATTTTGTGAAAATACAGTAATAATTTTAATGTTTCATTTCTCTAGGCGTTTTTAAGTTTTAAAATCAAATATTGAACTGAAGTTTTTCAGTTTGCTAAATTAGTGTGGCAATAGAAGAATTAATACTAGCTTATACAAATTTATTTTATATAAGTACTACTTTTAAACGGCAATAACTTGTTTAATTTAAAGGAAACACCCTGTATATGTGACGAGAATCAGATGCACAATTTAATTGTCTATCAAACTGGGTCACACCATTTTTCCCTAAGAATAAATAAATTTTTCCCTATTCTTTCCCTCTTCAAGTTTTCGTAGAAAATGCATTTTCTTATAATTTAGACCCCATATATACCCATGGAATATTGACATTTTAGAATATTTTTAAAGATGTAACGAATTTTTAAAAAGTACAGATACTAATATTATCGATATAGTTCGCTTATTTCATATATTATGATCCTAGTATTCGAACTACAGTAATGACTGCTTGCGTTGATTAATAATTGCTCCAAATACTAAAAAAACTGAATTTTATTGTGTCATAGCGTTTTTTATAAAACATTACCACTGCGAACGGCAGCTTTTCGTTGGTAGAGCAGTCGTGGATAAGGTATTTCACTGGACAGAAACTAACTAACCATAATAAATCAAAAATACAAATATTGGGCGCCAGGCATGAACAGAGAAAGAAAACACAGTTGTTTATTACTTAAAACTAGTGACTATATTCATTCATGATGTATTTTGACGATAAATAGCAATTTTAATACTTATTATAGTGGTTATATGTCGAGTAAAAGCTATGTTAGAAATAATATTAAATATATTCAATGAAAAGACTATAAAAAAATACCATACATGTAAAGTTATAGAAAATGTATAAAAGGTAGCATTACTTTAATTAATTTGATATATTTTATATGATGTTAAATCGAAGATGTTGCAACCAGGGTTCGGAAGTAGTTAATTAAGACGTAATTTACCTGATTAACTACGTGTAGTTTTTCTTCAAAACTACGTCTTTTCTAGTTCATTAACTACATGAAAACTACGTTAATAAACTGTGTATTGATATTATGAATAATTTTCCTTTGTATGAGGTGCAATAGAGATAATATGATAAAAATATCATATTTAAAGCCATATTTCTTCCGTTTTCTTAAATACATTATGTGTTTTTAAAGCTTCAACTTCTTATAACCTCACCTCAAACCTTTGATATTTGAAAGTTACATACATAGGTTACATAAACTACACCCTCTACATAAACTACATTAACTACAGGTAATGTAGTTTATGTAGTTTTTAAAAGTAACATGTAGTTTTCCGAACCCTGGTTGCAACCCGTAGATTCTAGAATCTATGTTTGGTTATTCATCTGTTAAAATACCGCAATAATAATATCTATGAAAGTAATACTATTACAAGACGTAATGTAATGAAACCTAAGATCTAAATCATATTGTAACTACTAAATCGACATGAATGTTCTTAACGATCTAACCACTAAACATAGTCTGTACGATATTATGTTAAGATGTACGTTATTATGTTAAGACTGAAAATCGACTGAAAACTAGAACTTAAATCTACACTTAGCTGTTCTTTATGTAATCATGCTTCAAACAGTAACAGCATGCGGTGGGACTCGTATCTCTGTACTGTCTCTCGGCCAATGCAACATAAGGGGCCAGGATGAGGACACCATGAATCAATACAGCCGTAACTATTGACTAGGCTTAGAAATGGGAAAGAAGCAGCATGGGGCTCAAGCTACATCCACGCTGGGGCACTCTATATATAAGATAAACCATCCCTACATGGGACACTCGTCCACAGAACATCTGTACATAGGGCATCCAACTATAGGACCCTAAAAATACGAAACTCGTGTTTAAAACCTACCAAGGTGTAATAAACACAATAAACCTACCTCGAATTACTTCCGAGGGCTCAATAATAAACAAAGAAACTGTCCTTTCTTCCATTTAACATTCTGGAGGACAAAAGAAAAGGAACGCCAACTTGCCAGCAAAATACAAACACAAGTTAAGTTGGGACATCCAAAACTCTACCCTAAAAATATGCAGTAATAATATCGAATCTAAAAGGATAATATCTCATCTTTACCTGTTGCTTTGAAATAGCAGCTGATTCAGATTATACAGCAAGATTTAAATAATTACCATTTCTAAAAGCCGGAATGGTGTGTTGGTGGTGGCTACAGAGCGACAAAAGCAAAAGTGAGTCCACAGGGCAGAGAGCGAACCTTGAAGCGATGTTGACAGCGCCTCCACAGAGCAGTCAAACGATAACAGGGTTGTGGACTAGAGAACGTAAAAATTACGCCAAGCGCGTGAAATAAATTATCCGGCCTGAACGATAGGGAATCCGGTGATGATACGCCAGACATCATATATCATAATCAAAGACATGTAACGAACTAAAAACATTACAGTGTGTTAGACAGTGTGGTAAAAAATAACACCTTATAAATTTGATTTCATTTTTTGACGAATGCTTATTTATAACAATAGAGTCGTTCACATTCATAACTTATTATTATATTGATTTCTGATTCAAATTCCAATCCACATTTATTTAGAATAATTTATTAACTAACACAATTAAGTATGCAATTACTCTTGTACAAATATTTAAATAGTTTTCTTTTTGCAAATAAATGGGCTAGCAATATTATCTGTTTTAGCATTTGAATATTTTGTACATTTGTTGCTTTAAAAAAATCTAAAATGTCAGTAAACCATGGGTATATTAATAAAGTAGGCCTAAATTTTAAGAAAATATATTTTCTACGCAAACTTGAAGAGATAGGTAAGAAATGGTATAATACAATTTGACAGACAATTAAATTGTGCATGAATAATAACAATTATTCTTTAAAATAATAATTATAGATATTTGTGGTTTAATTTTTGTACAAAACATTTTTATATTGTTAATAAAATATTGTTATTAAAAGTAAACCTTTTGAGTAACATAGGGAAGAATTTAAATTGATGAAAATCATTATTTAAAGATTTATGTTAACAAGCCAAAATAATTGTCTGAAATATGAACTGTTCTAAACTATCATATCATATATCGGTTTAGAACGTCTTGCGACGTTGTCCGATGCCTAACTTCCACGTCTTCCGATCGTTCAATTGTTCCTCGCTTAGATTTCTGGCACTCATTGCTCTTGTGACACCCTCCTTCCAAGTTTTCTTAGGTCTTCCACGTTTTCTTCGATGTTGGGGTATCCATTGCATAATTTGTTTTGGAAGTCGTATGTCATCCATCCTCTGGACATGTCCGAACCACATAAGTTGTTGGCGTTCGATGTCGGTTGCCAAAGATCCCTCTGTTCCTATCCTCTGTTGGATTTCTTCGTTTCGGACTCTATCTCTTCGGGAAATTCCTAAGGTTCTTCTATAGGCATCCATTTCTACCGCTTCCAGTTTTTTTCGGTTGGCTTCCGTTATTCGCCAAGTCTCTGCACCATAAAGTAGACTGCTCTTTACCATGGTCTCGTATATATTGATCTTCCGTTTCTTCCCTATTTCATTACTCCAAAATACTCCATTCAGACAGCCAATTGTTCTTCTAGCTTGTGATATTCGTTTTTTAATTTCTTTGTCATCTTTAGCTGTTGTATCAAATATCACTCCTAGATAGGTGTAGTCATTGCAGGCTTCTATCTCTTCATTTTCTAGATGTACGCTAGATAGTTCTGCACCAATAGGTAGATATTTAGTTTTTCCTGTATTTATTTCCAAACCCCATCGTTGATATTCTTCTTGTAGTTTTCTTGTCATGTACTCCAAATCATCTTTATCGTTGGCCATAAGAACTTGATCATCTGCGAACTGCAGGGTATATAGACAGGTATCTCCCAGATTAATGCCCATTCCATTACATTGTCTCTTCCATTGTCTCAAGGCCTTTGCTACATATATTTTAAATAATGTGGGAGAAACACAGCATCCTTGTCGTAGACCTTTATTGACAAAGAATCTTCCAGATAATGTGTTGCCTATTTTAATTTGTGATGTCGATTCTTCGTACAAGTTTTTCAGAGCTCTAATTAAGGTGTAGTTAATGTTGGTGTCCTGTAGTACCTTGAATAGTCTGTTAACTGGAACGGTATCATATGCTTTGTGAAGGTCAATAAACATGAGGTGTGTCTCCTGATCAATACTACTTTTTTTCTCTCTTAGTTGTTTCAGACAGAAAATATTATCGGTACAATAGTTTAAAACTAACTATAGTTCTAAACTAACTAACTGTTAAACAGACATTCTTTTGATGTTTAGATGTTTTTAATGTCGCCTTCTTGATGACACGGCCTCTTCCATGTCTTCCTCAGATTAAAAAAAATGGTTAAAAATAGCTAACATTTTTCTATTTTTGTTGCAGCTATCCGAACTGGAACAGCGAGTACTGGAGGCTGAAGGCAGGGCGGAAGAAGCGGAGGACAAGGTAAGAATAGTACCGTAATAAATATGTCGGCGTCTTTTATTTTAAGTATCTGGATCGTCGAAGTCGCTTTATAGAGATCAAAGTGGACGAACTGTGTTTGTTTAATAACGTTTCTGAAGATAGCTATATAGATAAATTCTGTGTGTTATGTATGTTATGGAATAATTTTAAAAATTATTAGCACATGCATTACATTGGTGCTATTTTATTTTCTATCATTAGAATTTGTTTCACTCGTTCATATTTGTTTTATTATTTGAGGTAATAAAAAAATACATTCAGAAAAAGCCATGACAGAAATGATTTCTGTCAAACCATGACAGACAGAACCATGACAGACATGAAAAAGTTAACGCCTAGGCATAAAAGTGAAGCGCTTTTACGTCTAAGTACAAAAGTACGAAAGTACAGGGTGTTTGAAAAAACATCTGCCATCTCTCGTGGGGAGATTCCTCGCATAAAAATAAGATTTATTTCTCATATCAACGTATGTAGGTCCGATTCTGCTTTGTTTCCTAGCTACAGGGTGTTAAATATAATATAAGTTAATATAAAATCTTAATATTTTTTCGATTTATTATACTTTTCTTCCAAGTACCTATATTTAGCGTTTCGAATGAAATTTTGAGGGTAACATCTCTTGATATTTTGTCGAATTCGGTCTCCTTGATGAGATAAACGCAATTTTATTAATTACAATTAATAAAAATTAAAGCAAGAATAAAATTAATAAATTATATATTTTACCTAATTTATTATTAAATATTATTACTATTTTTTTTTTCACTCTTGGTGGTATATTCTGACAGACGGGTGTTCATTACCAAGTACTGTCAGAGTTTCTATTGTTTTGTTTCTATTGTTTTAATTACTATTTATTATTTATTAATATTATTACTATTAGTTATTATTATTATTATTATTATTAGTCCAACCTACAGCAATTTTAAATAAAAAAATAATGGTATTTAAAATAAATACAAAATACCTAATTTTAAAGAGTTTGAACATCCTGTAACTCTAAAATTATGCATTTCCATATCCATATTTATAGGAACTTTTTTTCATATTTTTTGATGATGAATCAATGAGTACTTAAAACTTAAGTAAATGATATTATTGTTTTTTAAATTGCTATTAAAAGACTTTTGGATCAAGGCAAATTAATAAAATTTCGTTTATCACATCAAGGAGACCGAAATCGGCAAAATATCAAGAGACAACTTTTAATCAGCATTAAACTGCTTACACTGTTTCACTGACAAGAGAAAAAAATTCAGTGGCGTACATACTTTTTTAGAAAAATATTCCAGTAATAACCCATATGCATGTAAAATATGAATATGTCGCATTTATAGTAACTTTTACCATCAAAATTTCATTCGAAACGCTAAAAGTACTTGGAAGAAAATTATAGTAAATCGAAAAAGTATTATGATTTTAACACCCTGTAGTTTTAACACCTTGTAACAGAATTGGACCTATGTTGATATGAAAAATAAATCTTATTTTTACGTGAGGAATCCCCGACGAGAGATGGCACATGTTTTTTGAAACACCCTGTATAATTACATACAAGGTATGGCTTTTAAATACTTTTATATTACTTGGAACGTTTGAAATTTTTTAAAAACTTATTTGTGGCGTTTAAAAAAAAAACCATGTTCTATTCGGAGTAAAAATTACTTTTTGTGTCTCGGCTGTCCTTGCCACAAAAAGTGTCATTTTTACTCTTAATAAAACAATATACTATTTGACACTTACAATTGACTCAAACACAAAACACACACATACAATATCTTTTTTCATCAAATATCACATTTGCTGATTGTCCATTGACACATGACATATATGTAAAAATGATTTGATTTGTTATTGAGCGAGTTGAATTGAAACCTCATAAACTTTAATTTCTCTGACTCATTTATTTGCATTTGCTGGCACTTTTTCGACACTAGCTTTTTTGAGCTACATATCGACATTTTTTCATAATAACTATCCTTCCTACTATCATCCCCTTGAAATATCTACCCTTTTTGTCGGGGCCGATGTTGAACGAAATCGAGTGCAACGTTGCCACGTGACCCCATCCCGTCGACGACTTTCGCTATCGCACTCGTATCGATCGCGTCGCGACGTCTAGCGTCGTCCATGGCGGCGTGGTTCAGCTGACAGAAGACGACGCGAGCGACGGCACACGCGAGACGTCGATTTTCCTCTTTTTTTCGTCGTGGTTCTTTTGTTTTTAGTTCGTTTGTTTTTAGAAAAAAGTGACGCGGCAGGCAATTGTTTTCGCGGGATACGCTCAGAGTTGTTAATATGTAAGTCGAATGTTGTTTATATCTAGTGTGCTCTGTAGTATTTTATAGGTGATTTTTTTGTTATTTTTATTTGAGTTTGGGAAGACAATATTCGCAAATGTACATGCTATTATAGCTTAAGTTAATGGTTTATTAACTGTAAAGCTAAATGTTTATTATAATTTTATTTTTCGTAAATTCCATTCAGTTCTCATTGTGGTGCTGTTTCTATTTCTTTCTTAACATATTATTAAGTTTTGTGATTCTGTTATTTGATAAAGGCCTTTGGTTCTTAGGTTAAACCTTAACTATTTGTTTTATTTTTTTGTCCAAAAATATTTTTTTTTCAAATTTGTAATTTTTTCTAAATAAGTATGTATTTTTCTGTTTATACCAATATTTAATATTTCACAACTAATTTAACAAAGATTAACAAAGAATACAAAGACACTTAAACGTTTAACAAAGGAGTAATTACTCTTAAAGAAGCTTCAAATTAAATATTAAAGTTTCATTATTGCCCTGAATGTTTGTTTTTGACATTTCCAAGTGTTCGCAGATCCTAATAGATGGCAGCAGCGATTTGGAATTTTACTTTTTGCTGTATTTTGATTATAGTTTATAGTACTATATTTTCTTTTCTTCTAGAATAAAAAAAAAACATTATTTAAGTCTTCTACCCAATTTACTTTTTTTTAAGAAGTTATTAGCAGTTTTTTAAATAAATTTACTATTTATTTAAAAATATTAAATTATTAATTTTACATTTTTGGTCTAGTTTTAATATTCTTGGTAACCCTCAAAAATAATTAAAATCTTACACAAATAATACAAATGGCAAGCACTCCTATACAGAGTGTCCCATTTTGGTTGAGATCATACGGTATCTCCGTTATTAGTGAAGATAGAAGGATGCGGTTTGCACAAACACGTCCCACTTTTTTATCAAACTGCATATAGGTATGTTGAAAGCAAAATTTTCATAGCCCTCTTCGTTACTGAGCTACAGTTTTTTTTGAAAATTTTGCAATATAGAACATCCCCGTATCTCTAGTACGGGGATATATTGTGAAGGTGAGAGAGAGAAAACTGATTATTGTATAGAACTTTTTACGCAGCATACAGTGGCGTAATTTGTTATTCTACGAACAGAATTTCTGCAGATAAGAACTAAAGTTATGTTTTCTTAAATAAAATACCATGTATATTTATAAATCATATTATCTGGCTTGATATGATCTTCTCAAAAATGTATGTCAACCTATATTTACTTTCTTTATTTACCCCAAGTTTTGAATAAAATATCATTTTTATTCGTAGGCGGTGATTGATAATATAAGAAATAAAAGAGTTATTAAAAGTATACTGCTGTCTCTTATTTTGGGAGCCACTATTAAATAGTTTATATGTCAGGAAAACACCCTACCGCTATTGGTAAATCTTGGAAGCTCTCGTACCGGATTTTTTGAGGATATTTCATTAACTAATTTACATCAAATATACTTTCAGCAATATGGGGTTCCCGTTCACAACTGCGTGAAAATATTAGAATTTTTTAAACCATTATTTTCCAAATTAATGAATTGGAAATAATTGATCCACATACCAATGCGATACCACATACGAGGGCCTCCCAGAGCCCCGAATTTGTCCGTTCTGGGTTGCTGTATTTAGGCATTTTTGGAAAATGAAATATATCGTGGCAACTACAACTATGTCGAAGTCTTGAAAAATGCTATCAGGCAAGCTTGTAGATATTTGTAAACCTATATACCGTTTTTAATAAATCTCGTTATAAAAAAACAAATATATATTCAGATTCAGTGGTAACAGTTTAAAAGTAAAATATTTTAGTCCCAAATAAAAATTTAAAATTGAATAATACCATTTTGATTTTTTTTTATTATCTTTCAGGGCCTACTAATAATAAAATTGAAATCGTGAAAATAAATATAGAGTGTTATATATTTTTGAGAAGCTTATAGGCAAGACGGATCACATGATTTATAAATATACAGGGTGTTCAATTTGAAAAAAACATAACTTTAGTTCATATTTTCAAAAATATTTTCTTCGTAGAAAAATAGACTACGTCACTGTGTTTAACGTAGAAAATTGACAATAATCAGTTTTCACCTTCTCGAAGCCTTTCACAATAACCGAGATACGGGGGACTGTCCCAAATTGCAAAATTTTCGAAAAAGCTCTGTAGTTTAGGATCGAAGTAGGCTATAAAAATTTTGTTTACAGTAGCTTCCGTTTGACAAAAAAGTGGGACAGGATTATGCAAACCGCATCCTCTTATCTTTACTAATAACGGAGATACCGTATGATTTAAACCAAAATGGGACACCCTGTACATCAAATTCAGTTTATGGCTACCAAAATTCAATTTGATATTGTTTTTGCTTTGTTTGCATTTTTAAGTTTCATGGAATAATTTGTTCAGCGATCATTTTCTTCAACAAAAAGAATAGTTATTTCTTATAAACCGACTTCTGGAAAATTCCTACTCATCTCCTAACATTTTTTCTGGTTATTTCTTTTGTCAGATCCCCTTCTCACTAATGAATTGCTTTCGTTTCCGAGGGTATCCAGCTCCCCCAGGATTTCTTTTACGGTCTTTAAGACTATATTGTTGCTGGACCCAGGCACTTTTCTTTTTTTTGTGCTCGTTGTACAAAAATAAGAGTTTTCTCG